TTCACCAGAAGGCCTGTCCCAATGGCTTTCACACTGTGTAATAGGGCAGCCATCGCTCTAGTCAGACTGCTAGTTCGAGCTTTGGTGCAAGAAAAGAGCCTGCTTCAGGTGGTGCAGTGAGCTGGCTAGCGATGACCGGGGCAGGCTGAGTCATCCCTAAGCATCTCTCGTAAACAATCTTGGCCTGGTTTTTTGCCTCTGGCCTAAGTTTCTGAATCAACAGTAGCCAGTAGGGCTTCTACTTATTTCTCTGGTAGTAACTCCCAAGTTCTTTTCTTTTCAGGGAATCTGCAAGACTGTTCAATTAATCCGGTTTTAACAGCTGCAGATGTACTCTTCAGCATGTTTCAAGCTCAGATGGCTCTCACTATCAATATTGGTAGTAGCAGCCTCAGTGTGAACATGTGTTTCTGGCAAGAAGCAGGCTTTCCTTATAATTGAGACTTATTTTTTTATAAACCGTATCTTGGGTGCCAAGTGCTTCCCCCACTGGTAGTTGTGAATGCTAAATCTCTACTTGACTTTTCCGCCCCCTCGCAAGATGTGTGCAAGCTTCCTTTCCCCACGCGGGGTTAGAGGAATCGTTTAATTGTTGGCCAGCCTGGGAAGATGTGACGTGCTGCCAGCTGTACACATAGCCCCAACTGCAAAGATTTCCAGCCTCAAGCACAACCCACTGCCTGTTGTTCTGGGACATGGGGCGGTTTGAGGAAGGATCTTAGGAAGGAGGATCTGCTGGTTCTGGATCCCGTGGTAGAGCGGTGGCGGCAGTAGAATCATGAATCCTCAAGTGGGAATGTGTTGATGTCCAAGTTGATTCAGGAAATGTTTTACCAGGCTGAGGAACTCGGTGCTTGGGGGCAGCCTAGTGTAGGGCTTACCAGTTGGGCTGGTGACCTCAAGATCAAACAGTTCAAAACCACCAGCCGCCCCTCCTGAAAAAGACCACCCCCGTAAAAACTGACAGTCTCAGAAAGCCACGGTGGCAGCTCTGCCTGCCCTAGGGGGTCACGGAGGGTTGGAATCCACTGATGGCAGTCAGCTTGGTTGGTTTTGGAGGAGGGGCAGAGAGAGTGAGGAGCTGTGTTTAATAAAGATGAGCAGCTCCCACCTGTCCAGTGACCCCGGTCTCTGTGCTGACACATATAGAGGTCTGTTGGTCAAAGGGACAGTCGGTTTAACAAGATTTGAGACTAACATTTTTGGTTACTGTTTTTGCAGAGGGTAGGGGCAGTTTGGTATTTTGCATGGAAGCTATTCCTTGTGGGTAGTTCGATGTAAAAGCCAGGTGCTGTATTTTATACCAGGTTTCCTCTGACTCCAACCAGAGCTGCTTCTCTGTGCTTTCCCTCAGAAAACGTGGGGGAAGTAGATAAGGAAGTTACCTTCTGAGTACGGGAGAGGGCAAGCCTCGAGGCTCAGCCACGCAGTGTTTACAGCGGTGCATTAGGTTGCAGGTTAGAGGGCCTGATGGTGTGCTGTCTACATGTGGGCTGGATTCCACAAGATCAGCAGTTTGAGACCACCAGCTGCTCCACAGGAGGAAGACAGGGCTTTCTACTCCCATAAAGAGCTACAGTCTTGGAACCCCCAGGGACAATTCTGTCC